AAAAAATAAAACGCGAATGGAATTATACTTATCAAATCCTGATATGGAAAGGCTCTGATCATTATTTTTTCAAATTCCAACTGAAAGCGACTGAATTATTTTTGTCAAATGCGGCACTATTTTCTTTTTTTTTTTTTTTGTTCGAAATTTTCATCTGAATACAACGGTATATGACAAGGACAAGTTGATTATCGAACGAAATTAGTTTAAAAAAAAATAAATTCTCAAGTGACAAAAATAAATAGTTTCATAAAATAATGTCAATGAAATGAACGTCAGTGTTTCATTTGACTGATATTTCTACACCGTATTAGTAGGGGAAGCCAGTAGCAGATTCTAGCGACTAATATCCTCTCAGCTGATAATTCGTGAGAAGATGAGATGAGATAAATGTGTCTCGAATCCAAAAAATCGTCAGCTGCGCGATCGTTTTTTGGGATTTTCTCTCCTCGTTTCTATAAAATAAAAATATGCGTATTATTTCAATATTTGTAGTGGGACAAATCAGATGATTTGTCCCAAAATGTCACTGCGGCAGCTTGGCAGTGACAATTCGTTTGAAAAAATGTTTGAAGGAAAGAAATATAGATATATTGAAAAAATATCGAATTTTTACTTATCTTTGGACGTTTCGGGACCGAATATGCTTCCATTCTCAACATGAAAATGCAAAATATTTCTCTTTGGAAGTTAATGTGCTGCTTATAGTTTGACACTTTTCAGTGTCCTACTGATGTTGGCATATGAATGAGTGATTTTAGTCTACAAATGAGTTTGGAAAGTATTATACAGGTGAAACGAAAAGACCTCTTTCAGTAAGGACTAAAGAACACAAGTACAATATCAAGAAAAGACATATCGATAAATCGAAGCTAACTGAACATATCCTTAATGAAGATGGACAACATATGGCAGAGTGGAATAATATCAAAATCATAGGAAAGGAAGATAACAACAAAAAAGAAAAATCAAGGAATCCGCTTGCATTCTTCTGAACATAGACAATAGCATTGCTCCCTGTTCAGTTTATATAGATAGTACATGGTATTCACTACTGAAAACTGAACATGAAAATGGTAGATTCAAGATCAATTAATGAAAACATCCTGTAACTCATTTGTAGACTTAAATCACTCATTCATAAGCCAACATCAGTATGACACTGAAAAGTGTCAAACTATAAGCAGCACAACTTCCAAAGGGAAATATTTTGCATTTTCATGTTGAGAACGGGAGCAGATTCGGTCCCGAAACGTCCAAAGATAAGCAAAAATTCGATTTTTTTTTTAATATATCTATATTTCTTTCCTTCAAACATTTTTTCAAACAAATTGTCACTGACAAGCTACTGGATTTTTCTTTTAGGCTCCAGCTGATAGAAAAATGTGTTAAACGCAGTGACATTTTGGGGCAAATCATCAGATCTGTCCCACTACAAATATATTGAAATAATACGCATATTTTTATTTTATAGGAACGAGGAGAGAAAATCCCAAAAATCGAGTAAAATGAATTTCCTAATGTTTGAAAATTTGTGAGATAACATAGTTGGCATTGTATTTGTTTGCGGGAAAAAGAAGTCAGCTGAATATAACACGGTGGATTATATGTCAACTGCTCATACGAATATGAAAAAAGTAATAGTTAATTACCTAACAAGTGCCGAAAGTAGTATTTTTTCGCACGCGACGGCAGTTGCACGAACGACGCGGAGCGGAGTTCGGGCAAGTCATCAAGGGCAGAATAGTAACTTTCCTAACAAGTGCGGAAAGTGATTCTTTCCCGGACGCGACTGCCGTTGTCACGACGCGGGAAAGTGATTCTTTCCCGCACGCGACTGCCGTTGTCACGACGCAAGCAGTCGGGTGCGGGAAAGACACTTTCCGCATGAGTTAGGAACAATATTTTTTCTACAAGCGTAGGAAATTGATTGATTTCTTCAATTAATTATTCATTCATATAGGAACAATTAAAAAGAGAAATATATTCTCTATGTTCTGATTATTAGTAATAGCTATTGTGAACTTACAGTTTGACGCATTATCTATAGGTGCATTTTCCGCAATGCCAGCAGGCCCATAAGGTGTTTGTTCTCTAGGTTTCAGACACTTCTAGGAAATAGCCAAGAATACATCTTCTTTATTCGATTCATTTCTTTGATGTTGCACCATTCAATGATTCAATAAAACGCGTGTATAGCTTCTCATACCTTTCTTAAGACTTCGTTGGCAATAACGCATCTGTATCGCATCCCTGTAGCTGGAAGTTTTTGATCAAATTGTGGCAATTCCATTGAATCGACAGAAACGCTTGAAATGACAGTAACGCTGTGTCTGCCACTTCGACAATGGGCGTGTACACCTTAGTAGAACTTTTAACTCAAACCATGTGTATAATGATCCTTTTATACATAAATAATGATTGACGACATAATTCGATCGAAAAATTAACTGGAATGTTTTATTTTTGGACATAAATAATAGTACCTTCTGAAAACGGACTCTCTTATGACGTAGCAACCTCATCTCGCCATAGTTAAAAGAAAATACCAAACGCCCGACGGAGACTGAGGCAACTGATGTATTAATTCTTTCAACTGTGATCTCGCGCTAATTAATCTGTCAGAAATCATGTATCATTCATCTCTGTCTGGAATAGGCTTGTTTCAGTATTAGGGTTTTGACGTCACATCATCGCCTCATTTTCAGAGGTCCGAAAAATCGGGGATTTCAATAATTTTTTATAAAACGTAGGGAGCTCACAGCAAGAAACGGTTTACGGTGGTGAGCTAGTTTGGGTGAGTTCTATCGAATTATGAAATAAAAATGTTTTGTGATACAAGCCCATTACAAACTCATTTGAGGTTTGATCGGCATGACAAAAATAATCGTTTCCCATCAGATCAATCCAAATCTATAGGGGGATTTTTATAATAATCAATTTTTATTTTTCAATATTTCTTAATGTTCACAATAAATAGTGCAATTTGATGGATGATTCTGAACATATATACTTAATACTACAACAAACAAACTCAAACTCTCATATTCCATCACCTACCACTTATATTTTGCCACATCATCATATCTTTGTTTTTCCCGCACTAGTAAGGCGAAAATTTTCCCACAATGTTGCGGGAAAATGACACTTCCCAAACTAAATTGCGTGCGGGTATAAAAATTATAACCTATTGAAAGATGTAACTATACAACAATCACATATAACAATGAAATATAATAATAGAAAGTCACATTTTCCCTACGAGCTTCATATCAGATAACGAAACTAAAAAAATTTCGACTCAAATTACAATTTATTGAATAATTTTTAGTTAAACTTGATAGAAATAGCTAAACAACAAACAATTACATATCAATAAAATATAATGATAGAAAATTAAATCATTTGTTCCTAATATTTATATTGAGGTGGAATACAAATATCGGGAAGAACGGTTGAAAAGTAAAAGGGATAACGGCTTCTTATAGTGCATACAATAGTCTACAGCAACTAAAATGAATTGAGAGTTGAAGTAATCACTGTACGTAGACCTCCACGTAGACGTTAACGTACGAAAAATAACGTTTACGTATTGTCGTTAAATTGAGTTGAAGTCGCCACTTTGGTCGTCAGCACTGTCATCATAACGTAATAATACATTTTGTTTTCGGTTTGTATTGGTCATTTTTAGTTGTGTGTTTAGATTCGAACATTTATTCCTGTCAAAATTAGAAGACTCCTTGATGCAGAACTCGTTGGTGATCTCGAATTTGATAATTTTGACTCATCGGCATATTTCGAGTATCGTTTGGTTAACGTACGTTGATATTTAAGGTATACGTGAAGGAACGTGGGATAACGTACACCCGTGCCCACTAACAACGCAAACGTGAAGAATTGGAAAATGCGCATGCGTAGCTGTCAATTTCTACGTTTACGTTAACGTTCATGACAACACTTCAACTCTCTAATATAAATGTTCCATACCAGTGAGATTCTTGGGTAGTTTTACTTATCCGCACGGCGTGCGTGACATTGCGAAAAGTTTCAGGATAATTAAGTCCTGAGCATTTAAATCATTTCTTAGGAGAAACGAAGTGATTACCTGAATAATTTATAACATTTTTTCTGCATAAGGACAATATACTCACTAAATGAATATACGCCTCTGGAAATGGACTTATCACAAAAAAAATTTATTTCATAATTCGATAGAGCTCACCTAAACTAGCTCACCACCGCAAACTGTTTCTTGCTGTGAGCTCCCTACGTTTTTTAAAAAAATATTGAAATCCCCGATTTTTCGGACCTCTGAAAACGAGGCGATGATGTGACGTCAAAACCCTAATACTGAAACAAGACTATACCAGACAGAGATGAATGATACATGATTTCTGACAGAGTGAATTAGCGCGAGATCACAGTTGAAAGAATTAATCGGGCGTTTGGTATTTTCTTTCAACTATTACGAGATGAGGTTTCTACGTCATAAGTGGGTCCGTTTTCAGAAGGTATACTATTATTTATGTTCAAAAATAAAACATTCCAGTTAATTTTTCGATCGAATTATGTCGTCAATCATTATTTATGTATAAAAGGATCATTATAAACATGGTTTGAGTTAAAAGTTCTACTAAGGTGTACACGCCCATTGTGCAACAAATCTATAATTGGTCAGAATTGGTCCAGAATACATCTGATAATTGCTTTAATGAACCATATAATTTTATTTCAATTCGGTTTGGGCGTTTTTGAGTTATAAATAAAAAACTCGCCACTTTTTCGTAAAGCTCAACACCCTGTATCATGGAAATGAAGCATTCCCATGTTTTACTGAGTGGAATCTGCCCAAGGCACATCCAGTATATCCTTCAAACTGATGTGACCTATGATGAATTAATCAATTTGGCTTAGCAACTAATTAAAACAACTTACTGTCATAGAAATAGATATGGTGAAGATTTGAAACTAAGGCGTACAAAAAAACAATGTTTCTTATTGTACTTGAACTTATATTATTTAAAGTACATCTTAAAAGTACAAAAATATGAACAATATTTTGAAAAGTATATCACAAAATGAATTACCAGTGAGAAAACATTCACAACCTCAAGTTTTTCCAAGCTTGGAATTGGAAAAATGTTCTTGGATTTGCTGCAAGATGAATTTCAACTTTTGTGAATCGGCCATAAAGTACATCCACAGCTGTCGTCGATAGTTTTGCCATTTATTGGGGATTTTTTTCTGAAAAAATAATTAACGGACTTACTGGTAGTCACAAACTAAACCACATTTTTATGAAACGATCAATAGTTTAAATACTTTCGCTGGTTATAAGTACTTGGAATACTTCCTATGGCACATAATTGTAATTAAAGCTTTGCCCTTCTATAGACGAACGAGTTTTGATAAAGAGTTATATGATTATATAACATATCTCGTGGTTGACGTCAAAAAAATGTGCTGACTCAGCTTGTCAAGTTCGTCTGACTGGTATTGCTAGGGATGGAATGTTAGCCAAGATTTTTGAAGAGAACATTTTCCGTGAAAGTATCTATACATAGAAACGAGGAAGTTCGCCGACTTTCCAACGATGCTCCAATCAAGGACCATGTGAGTGTGGCATCACCAGGTGACTGGTTCATCTCTGGATGGAATCTAAGAGCATCAGCGTATGTTTGGATGCTGAACCCCATATGCGGGAACAGTTTTCTAGGTACATACGTACGATGCTCTCCGAACATTATAGGGATTCCCTTACGTGCGCCCCAAAAGATGAAGAAAAAAGATGTCTTTGGGTGTAAAGTAGCTTTCCGCTCGTGATAAAAAGCCGAGGTTTTGTGAAATAGGTTTGCAAAATACAATTTCCACGAAGAATTATTTATGAACCCTTTGTTTGTATCGAGTAGCAACGATAATAATAACGATGACTCTAATAAAAAGGTTCGAATAAGTAATCTCCACAACATTTGCCAGAAATAATAATATACAGTGTCATTCATAAAGTCGGCATCATATGGGAATAACTTTTATTAATGACTTATTTTGAAATTCGAGTTGGACGTTAAGTTTTGCTTCAAAAAAGATGAAAAATGGCCTACTCAATCAAGATCACGTGACTTTCGCTACATGTCAAAAGTGACATTTTTTCAAATTAATCGCTGAAAGTAGGCTTATTTGTTCGAATATCGAAAAAGTTGTTTCTATTTGAATTTTACATATGTGACTCGGATTTTATCTTTTTATTACATTTTTTAGATTTCTATATTTTTAAAAAAAATTCGAAATTTCTGTAATATTAAAAAAATTGTAAATTCGATAAAACTACTTCATACCAGTAGTTTCATCATGCTACTAACTTTCAATTACTAATTATCGACAAAGATATGATTTTCTTCAGAAAATTATAATCTCCGCTTCAAAATTCTGTTATGTTTGATGCAAACATAACATCAAAATTCTGTTATGTTTTAGTCGAGCATTTAGAAACGAAATTCATTTAAATTTATTTTTTCAGTACTGAAAAGATCAGTTTAAATGAATGTTGTTTCTAAATGCTTGACGATATATCAACTTTGCATCAAACATAACAGAATTTGGAAGCGGGTATTATCATTCTCTGAAGAAAATCATATTTCTGTCCATAATCAGTGATGATAAGTAATTGAAAGTAAGTAGCATGAAAAAGCTACTGGTATGAAGTAGTTTCGTGGAATTAACAATTTTCCAAATATTACAGAAATTTCGAAAAATTAAAAAAAAAACGAAATCTTGAAAGTTGCAATAGAATGGTCAAATTCGAGAAGCATGTGTAAAATTGAAATAGAAACAACTTTTTCAAGTAAACCTTTTCGATATTCGAACAAATAAGCATACTTTCAGCGATTAATTTGAAAAAATGTAACTTTTGACATGTAGCGAAAGTCACGTGACTCTGATTGAGTAGGCCATTTTTCATCTTTTTTGAAGCAAAACTCAACGTCCAACTCGAATTCCAAAACAAGTCATTAATAAAAGTTTTTCCCATATGATGCCGACTTTATGAATGACACTGTATATCCGCTTTAATAGTGACATAGAATCACCCGGCCCCTCAAACATAGCATGTTTTTCTTCTTCACATCATTGTGAACATTTCATTATACAGGCTGTCCCTACAAGGTCTGTAAAAAATAACACCACATAAGACAGTGAGATGATTGAACCAAACTTACCTCTATACCAAAATGCTCCGTTTAGGTGCTACAGGGTGTTGGAATTGAATTTTTATTTTTATTTGTTCGTATACTAGCTGATCCCACAAACGTTGTTCTGCTATACAGGGTGTATCTAAATAACACCGAAAAAATTCAAGGGTTGATTCCTTGTGATATTTTAGGAAATAAAGTTCATATAAACATTTGTCCTAACTTGCATCGTTTTCGAGATCTTTTTTCAATTCATTTCTCAATTGTCTTTTCATCAATTTCAATAAACAATGTAGTTTTGTTAATAGTAATATTGAGCTTCTTCTAGTGCAATTAGATTCGAAATAATATTTCCACTGGCGTCCCACTGGGAAAATTTATCGGTATTGATGGTGAATGTCATTGTACACCACCGGCTTTTCTGAGTTTCATATTTTTATTAGATTGAACTATTGTAATAACAACTTTTTTATCCTCTGTGTGATTTTTGTATCTAGCTTAGTTTTTGAGGAAATAATAAAATATCGATTTGACTCCAAATTTCAATGTAGGTGTTTTCAAGACTTCCATTGAGATTACTCAAGTCTCCATCCATACTGAATTTTGGCACCATGAAAGCTCATACAGGGGGGTTATAAATAAAAACAATTAATACTTCCAGCTTCAACATCCTGTATCTGTTTATATAAACTTTATTTGCTAGGATGTCACAAGGAAACACCCCTTGAATTTTTTCGGTGTTATTTTTAGATAGATAGTATTGCTAGAAAATATTTTTTCAGTTTGATATTCATCAGCACACTATTATTATTGTATTTTCGACTTCTTTTTAGTTTGGCCATGTTTGGCTATCTACAAAAGCGTGCTTCGTTAGTTTTTCTAACTACCATTTATTTTCTACTACTTTTTAGATCACTTGAATTTCCTAATTTTGACGACCGAATTATATAATCTCCGACTCCAAAAACCCCAGATGAAAATGTTGAATAGAAATTACAAAACTCGTTCGTTACATTGGATCCGCCATCTTGAACTTCCTAATTATGACGAAGGAATCATAATCCCTCGATTCCAAAAAAAAACCCTAGGTACCAACTTTGAATAGAATCGGATTATAATTACAAAACTCGTCCGCCATAGGTATTGGTTCCGACATCTCGAATTTCCAAATTCTGTCCGAATTTACATACTTTGAAGAATTAATCATAATTTCCGACACCGATAACTCACAGGTAACAATTTTGAATAGAATCGAATCATAATTAGAAAACTCGTCCGCCATATTGAATCCGACATATTGATTCTCCTAATTTTGACGAAGGAATCATAATATTGCCGATCCCGAAAACCCCTAGGTACCAATTTTGAATAGAATCGGATTATAATTACAAAACTCGTCCGCTACATTGGATCCGCCATCTTGAATTTCCTAATTTTGACGAAGGAATCATAATCCCCGATTCGAAAAAAAAACCCTAGGTACCAATTTTGAATAGAATCGAATTATAATTACAAAACTCGTCCACCTAATGGTTCCGTCATCTCAAATCACCAAATTTCCGTCCGAATTTACATACTTTGACGAATTAATCATCAATCCGTCAGTGTCATTTGAAACTTCGTATATCGACATGAAATATCAGATGTTATGGTTGAAAACGAATTAATGTTTTCAATGTTCCTGAAATTTTATTAATAAACTAACAAATAAGTAAAAACCAACTTCTATTGTGAAAATATAGTGCGTCATATTCAACTAGATTCATCGGAAATAATAATAATAATAATATATTGGATTTCAGATGACAAATTTGTTATTTAATGTTTCTCACATTTGAATAAGAAGAACGAGTTATACCCAAGTGTCATATTATATTTCGAATATTAACAAACGAAGGTTATAGTACACAGTCTTTATTACGAGGCAAATTCTCAAACGTTTTCGGCTACAAGCCATTATCAGGAGTAATTTCTGAAAATGAGTGGAGATTAAAAAAATCTGAATTGGAGTTATGTAATGGGTTAATAAATTTGATAAATCTCAATAAACTCACTTGTCATAAAGTTTTACAAAAGATTAAAGCACAAGAAGAACATTCTTATGTGCTCAACACTGAAAAGTTCAAGTTTTCGAGAAAACTAAGTACATTTTTTAAAATTAAATAAAATAAAAGAAAAGCAATTATCTGTCTTGATGATCTTTCAATCTAGATCATTTTTCAAGATGTCATATGCCTATTTTAACTTTAACCTCATTCATTCAGTCGTCCCGCCGAAAATGTTAGAGCACATCTATAATTGCTTTGCTTTTATTTTATTTCATTTAATTTTGAACAATGTACTTAGTTTTCTCGAAAACTTGAATTTTCCAGTGTTGAGCACATGAGAATGTTCTTCTTGTGCTTTAATCTTTTGTATAAACTTTCTGACAAGTGAGTAAAACTTTATTAAAATTTACAAAATTTATTAACCCATTACATTCCAATTCAGAGTTTCTAATCTTCACTCACTTTCAGAAATTACTCCTGATGATAGCTTGTAGCCGAAAACGTTTGAGAATTTGCTTGTAATAAAGACTGTGTACTAAAGCCTTCGTTTGCTAATATTCTGAATATTACAAAGTACACACAACCTTGCCCTTTGTTTATCAAATTATATTTGACATCTACGAATCTGCCACGCAGCAGAATTAATTCACAATATTTGTTTTCAATGTCATGAATGGTTTTTGTTGTTAGAAAATTATACAGAGAGGAAGACGAATAATGAGTTTGCTGCTAAGTGAAAATAATCACAGCCGTAGTAGTTTACGATAACATTTGTATCTCACAAACCGTTAAAAATTAAAGTACAAAATTTGTGGAACAGTTAGTTGGAAGGCCAGGGGGCCTATTCTCGAATATCGAACGAAATAATTATGTCCTTTGCGACATATGTCGATAGAAATTGTCACACAACGTTGTGTGGCATTCTCGATTGCTTTCGACTTCAAACTCGCATGAGACAAATTATGTCGAATAGCAACTGGTAACATCGAATTAATGATTCTCGAATGTGTTCTGTGCCAATGTGTTTTTGTTTCTATCCCTAATAGCACACAACGTTCTAGGGACGTTTTTATTTGGTACAATTCAAGTCCGAATGTCCTGGACCAAAAATGAGTGGCCTTGGGACGCCCCATCCCGTACATCTCATGCAATGTCCGAGCAAGGACGGTCACGGAATGTCCCAGCTAGTACATCATTTCAAATGTCCTAGAAATAGCATCCCTAAGACGTTCCACGTGGTACATATTGTAGAATGTCCATGCAAGGACGTCCTTGGCATGTCCCTGATGGGATATGATTTTAAACGTTTCTATAGGGACATCCATTGGATATCCTGAGTAGTACATATTCTGGCATGACTTAATAATGTCCCTTCTAGACAACCATGAAATGTCCCTGATAGTACATTCCTTCAAATATCTCTGTACAAGCGCCCTTAATATTTCCAGGATCGTATAACAATCTAAATGTCCCTTAGGGACATCCTTTGAATGTCCCTCAGGCATATCCGTCGGATGTCCCAATTGGTACATAAACTGTATATACTTATCCAATGTCCAAGAAATAACGTCCTACGGACGTCCCAGTCGGTACTTTCAATATGTTGTCCCTGCGAGGACGTTAACTTACACCTCGCCGACGAATGATTGCTCGTAGGCTATAAATACTCCCCGTCAATGTCCTTCACGTATGTCCATTGGACATCCTTGGGAAACTTTTTCAGGATCTATTGGGGACCTTCTACGGACCATCAACTCAACTGGATGTCCTCATCAGTTATGCAAGATCTGGTCCTAGAGGGACCCAGAAAAAATCAAATTCAAGAATAATTCGATAGGTTGTCCTACGGATGTCCTCCGTTGTGTTTGATGAAGAATACTGTAGGATTTAGGTATACGATAGTTGTCCCAGGGACATTCTTCAAGGACGTCCCTAGTTGGTCCTCAAGTGGGACATTTGTGCGTCCCACAGACGTCCAATGGACGTCCACAGTACCAAATTCGAATGTCCTATGGACGTCCTACGGATATCCATGGGACATAATTGTGTTATTAGGGATGTTGTTGTGATGGAGGTTATGCCAATGTTATGTTCAAATAATAATGACAGTGGAAAGGAGAAAAATATTGTGCTTGTTAGCATCTAGAAACTAGATGCGCTCTAATGCTCAGTGGAATGTGCTTAGATCAGAGCCTATGACAGACGTGTGTGAAGACTGGCTCATATAGTTTTCGGCAGGCAGCCGAGTTGTGAGCAAGTGTAACCCTTGTCCATATCATTTGTGCTCGTGTTTATTGAATTATGACCATAATATAACAGTGCTTCATCTCAAAAGGAAACACTCAACCTGATGAAAGAAAAATAGAATGAGCCACTTTTATCTGGCCAAAAAATGCAGAAGACCCAAGTGCCCCTACCACAAATGGTTCTAGCAGTGCAATGGACACTCACTAATTCCTTACCTGAATGTTTTTATACATTTTATGTCCGATAAAAATCTGAACACATTCTTATATTCGTTCTCTCGTTGCCGTTGATAATTTTCTTGATTTTCCAAATTTTAATGAAGCTGCCATTCTCAAAGTAACAAGTGAAGAAATCAGTCAAATATGCAATCTTGCATTCGACATGAAAATGTCGACTGCTTAAGACCACTCTACATTTGTCTACCGGAAATTTTCGAATGCTTCATTCGAAAATGAGCACTCACGTTTTTTGGTCGATAATGTATAAATCACGCATGTGACAAAATATCTCACCATTCGAGAATAGGGCACCAGGCCAACTCCTGATGTCCCATCGATTGTCCCATTTTGTATCATATGGGCGCAACAATTTTCAAAAGTCGCATTTAAAAATTGCGAAAAACTCAACTTTTTCAGATGACACCAACTGTATGTGGCCTACGTTGATCCTGTTTAAATGATAATAATGTTAATAATTTTGATAATTTACCATTCCACTAGATATTTCAACAGCAGATTTCACAGAAGATTGTTGCTGCCTGAATACTTCTTCTAATTTTCGCATGACGGATTGTAGCTCTGGGGCAATAAGTACTATGCGGTGAGTTGGGCCGCTTATCAACATTTTTTGAAGAACACCCATTGACTTTCTCCTGAAAAAAGACAATATCTGAATCCCAACATAATCTCCCATAATGAGGAACAAAAATTTCAAGTTTATCCGAAATCTATTGAATTTTTTTCCCGATAAAATAAAGTCGATTATCTCAGAAGAATATTTTGCATTTTCGTTATGGAATTCAGAAAAGTTCTGAAATATGGTAATGTATCTTTTCTCGAAAACGAAGGGAATCAAGAAACAAAATAGTATATTGTTTAACGAGCACGGAATGAAAGTCATTTCCCACGAGAATGAAGTGGAAAAATTAGCTTTCCATGTGAGTTATACACTATACTTTTTCTATGGCTGTAACAGATAACAGAGAATTTTTTTGATTTCTTCGGCTTAAAGCCATCTCTTACGTAATGCTCATCTATTATTAGACAGAACTGGCATTGCTTGAAATTTGACACTTCATGGGAGATGAGATTTTGTGAAAAAAATAAAACAATGCAGTCATTGTGATATAAAATACAGAAATAGAATTGATGACATGAAAGAGCAATGTTGTGTAATAACCGTAGAAAAATTTAAATTCAGTTCAGTGTATTTATCAATTTTTCATCAAATGAAAATTTCAAAGAATATCTCATGTAGAAAATGAAAGAATCATTTCGAAATCATTGAAAAAAACGAACGCAAAAATTGTACCCAACGACAAATTAGCCCTCCACAATTAACCGCTTTCGAATTTGTTCTCTTTGTGAGTAATATTTGCGTCACTCCTTTCAAGTTTATCTGTCATACCAAATTGTAATGTAGATATTGTGCATGGTGTAAACTTTCACACAGTGAACCACTTTTGTTTATAATGAACGCCAATGATATAGTTTTCGATCAAAAATATTCGATTTAATTTTTCTAAGTACTTTATTAGGGTGTCGGCAACAAAAGCACAGCCAGAGAGATCGTTTCAATTAACAAAGTGAATAATAATGATTTTATAAAAAAAGCCATGTCAATTGGTTCACTGTGTACCGTCTTATGGAAACAGTTGATGAATTCACAGTGAACCAGGAAAAAAAGTGTAAATACACCAAAAATAGTTATTTTTGTATCTAGAGCGCGAAATGCTACTTTGGTGATCGAGATCTGATTTTTTTAACGAGGCGTAGCCGAGTTGAAAAAATAGTCGAGATGACCAAAGTATTTCGCGCTCGAGTTGCAAACAAAATTTTTTCTACAAACCTCAAAAAATATTGTTCTAAAGTGGAGATATGCTCAGCTTGATTTAAACAATAGTGTTGAACAAGCTTTGATGGCCTCCCCCTATCCTCCCTATGTACGCACGAAGTTCCACGAACATAATAGGAATTTCCTTTCGTGCGCTCCAAGAGATAAAACGAAGTTATCTATTGAATTTTCAGTAATAAATGATTTCGTTGATGTTTGCTCGATTGTGGACCATTAAGTTGAAATATAAATATCTCATATATTTTACATAACAGTGCGCGAAGTAGGTACTTCGCGCACTGTTTTACTTCGCGCATTGTTTTGTGCAAGGTATCATTGTAACGTAGGAAACTGAAAAAAAGTGTCACTTCGCAATTTGTTATCAATGCGCGAACCTTGTCATTTTTAGACGTTTGTAGAAAAAAATTATTTTCGAAACAATAGAAAATCGATTTTTTAACGCCTCGACACGTGTTTCGCTAACTATGTTAGCATCTTCAGGAGAAGATTAAAACTGACTGAGTTTTAATCTTCTTAAAACTGACTGAGTTTTAATCTTCTCCTGAAGATGCTAACATAGTTAGCGAAACACGGGTCGAGGCGTTAAAAAATCGGTTTGGTTAGTGGTAAAACAGTGTAGTGCAATACAAAATCTGAAAAATATGTGACAGTTTAAAAAAATATGTAAGATAAATGGAAGAATAATTCGGTACTTTCATAGATATTTACTAGATGAGAATTATAGCACACAGTGAACCAGTCAATACACATTGAATCATATGGTTCACTGGGTACTGGTCCATTGTTAAATTTAAACAAATATGAAGAATCAATTAGCAACAAAATAATCGTGAGACTCATTGAAAGAGTTTTTAAATTTTTCAATGCTCAAATAGACATTTTTAAACAGACGATACCTAACATCTCCAAATACATACGCAAGCTACTATTTATCTTATATTTTTTAGTTCGGCTAACTACAAAATCGTGTTTCTTAGTGTTTTTATATTTTTTGAAAGTACCCAATTTTGATGGAAAAATCATAATCTCCGACCTCGTTGACCAACAGATACCAACTTTGAATGAAATCGGATCATATAATTACAAAACTCGTCCACGCATATTGGATCCGTCATCTTGAATTTCCCAATTTTGACGAAAGAATCATAATCTCCAACCCCGAAAACCCCCAAATACAAATTCTGAGTAGAATCGAATCATAATTGAAAGCTCGTCCGCGGATCCACTATGTTGAATTTTGAAATTTTGACGGAAGAATCATAATTTCCGATCCCGAAAACCTCCAGATACAAATTTTGAATAGATTTGAATCCTAATAACAAAATTCGTCCGCCATATTGAATTTACCAATTTCGATGAATGAATCATTATCTCCGACCTAGAAAACCCCCACATACCAATTTTGAACTTTGACGAAAGAATCATAATCTCTGATCCCAAAAACCCTCAGATACAAATTTTAAATAAAAACGGATCATAATTACAAAACTCGTCCGCGATTTTGTTCTTTGATCTAGCAAAATTTCATGATGCATTGCCACCCAAACTATGTACACCTGCTAAATTTCAAATCAATCGGTCAATTCAAAGTTTGTCAAAATTGAGTCCAAAGGATTCGGTTACATACATACATATACAGGGTGTCCGGAAATTATGCGCAAAAAATCAAGGGGGTGATTCTTTATGAGAAAACATTAGATTTATTTCATATATACTCGGGTCCGGAAATGCATAGTTTTCAAGATACAGTGTGTTGAACTTTTTAGAAAAAATCGGTTATTTATGAATATCTCAAATATCCTTCCACCGATTCTCTTGAAATTTGGCAATGATATTCTTTGTCATGAGGAGCTGATTAAGCCATAATTAAATTGGAATTCGAAAACCCAGTGGCATCCCGGGGGGCACCCTACCGAATATTATTGGCAGTAAAATGTGCGCCACTGATTTTTTCAAATTCTTCATCGTCATATTCAAATGATAAACTAAAAATACAACATTTTGGTCTCCTGAATTGTTTTGCTATTTTGCTGCGTTTCCGTGGAAAAAAATAAATACTAATTTTATTGTATAAATCAGTGCAAAACATAGCTTCAAAAACAGGAGTGAAATTAAATGTGTGATCCATGTCCATAGACGTAGAATTATAATTAAGATTAATTTTCTTCGAATATTTCATATTACATGTTTGACACACTTTGTATTATCGAAAACTACGCCTTCCTGGACGAGAATACATAGTTCTCTATATACAGAGTGTAGAGTGTGTCAAACATGTACCAAGAAATATTTGAAAAAAATGAATCTCCATACTCATTCTATGTCTATGGACATTGATCACGCATTTATTTTCACCCCAGTTTTTCAAGGAATTTTTGGCACAAATTTATGCAATAAATTGGTATTTATTTTTTTCCATGGAAATGAAGCAAATTATCAAAACAATTCAAGAGACCAAAATGTTGTATTTTTAGTTGGTCAATAGGTTATAGAGATAAAGAATTTAAAAAAATCAGTGGCGCACATTTTATTGACAATAATATTCGGTAGGTTGCCCCCCGGGACGCCACTCGATTTCATAATTTTGATTGAATTATGAATATATCAGCCTCTCATGACTCAAAATATTATTGCCAAATTTCAAGAAAATCAGTGAAAGGACATTTGAGATATTCATAAAAAAACGAACTTTTTTAAAAGTTTTAACACACTGTATGTTGGAAACTATGCATTTCCGGACCCACGTACATATGAAATGAAATTCTTATTTCATCATGTAGAATCACCCCCTCGATTTTTTGCTCACAATTTCCGGACACCCTGTATACAGATGAAGCTAATAAAAGGATGTTAAAATGTGTACGGCGGTTCACTTTGGGAAAATTTACCCATAACAAGATGAGTATCATGCCTTTCCATACCAATTGAATAGTAAATCTCAAAACCACAACAGTGCCACTCTGAGTCGAATTTTCGACACACAGATTTTTTTGGCTGCCGGTATTCCGGACATACTCCCGTTACGTGATAAATAGTTGAAAGAAAATGCAAATAAGAGGTAATGTACGATTCATTCTGATCTAATTTAGTCTCAGAGCATCAATTTTGTATGAATTACCTAGTATTTCCTCAACATTACTAAGAGACGTATTGCTTCCTTCATTTTATCGAAAAAAAAAAGAATCTCCCTGTATATCCTGAGTATCATAGAAACTTAAAACCTGTCAGATATGTATCTTCAGATTCGAAAGTTTCATTTCAAGATGATAAAATTTCCTCCCTGATGATGTGACACAGTGAAAAATCTCAAATATTTACTTACCATTTCTCCTCTAGAGAACAATGATCAGAAAATCTGAAAGAGAAAAGGTTGTTTTCTAAAACGCCAATTTCTCTTTTGAAATCTGCAAAGATTTCAAATGCCCTGGCTATCGTAAAATTTTCCTCATTGGCGGCAAGCATCTTGATTACATATTTTGTCAGCTTGAACCTATCTTCTGGTGTAGATTTTTCATAGTCTCGAATAATATTATGCATTTTAACCTAGAATCGAAAAAATAAAATAAGCATAAATCGCCACTGAACGTCCGTGAAAAGAAGATCAATATTTTAATCATTCATTTTGTGAAATGATTTATTTTCAGGAGCTCCACATCCTGTTAAAAGAGATGCTTCACCTTTGAAACCACCCTGTATATTGATATATCGAAGACTGGAACCTTTGGCACGATGATACACTACACACTGTTTTACCACAAACCAAACCGGTTCTTTACACCTCGGCACGTGTTTCACTAACTATCTTAGCATCTTCAGGAGAAGATTAAAACTGAATGCTCTATCCTAGTGGGCTACTTATATACTAAGAATATGTCCACCAAACCGTGGATAGGCAATAACGGCCAAGTTAATGTTATTCATGGTTGAGTTATTGTACCTCCTCGCGTACTAGGTCGCCTACTAGGTTTTAATTTGGATCGACAATGGTTGACTTCACATGTTATATTACTAAACTATAAAGAGGGCTAAAGTCCATTATTCTTATACATTACTATATTACTATTTTTAAATATCTCTAAGCTTCCATATGCATCTAATTTTCTACCATTATTAACTTGTACACAAGAGGACTTGATAAGGTTTTTAGAGACTTAGGTCTTGAAAGCGTTTTCAGTCTGGATCAAAGTTAGGCAATTTATAAGGTAATCCAAAAGATAAGGTGGACACGCTTAAAGAGTCAAGAATATATGAAATTATAGTTGTAATGATTGTGATAAAACATATATAGGACAAACCAGGCGTCCCATAAAAACAAGGTTCAAAGAACACTTAGCACATTTGAAATATGGTAGGTCAGATAAATCGTGTGTAGCTGAACACATGTCCAATCACAATCATAACCTCAAATTAGTTAAGCAAGACAATAATGTTAGAAAATTAGATGCATATCAAAGCTTAGAGATATTTATTAAGAATAGCAATAGAGTGATGAATAAGGATAATGGACCTATCTCATTTAGCCCTCTGTAGTCTGTATAGTTTAGTAGTATAACATGTAAACTTCACCATGAATAACATCAAGTTGGCGGTTATTGTCTATTCACGGTTAGGTGGACATATTCTTAGTATATAAGTAGCCCACTAGGATAGAGCATTTAGTTTCAATCTTCTCCTAAATATGCAAATATAGTTAGCGAGACACGTGTCGAGGTGTAAAAAATCGGTTTGTTTAGTGGTAAAACAGTGTGTGGTGTACCCTGTATATTAGACTTCATGTTATTCGTGGAAAAATTTATTCGCAGTAGTCAAGGTCGTCACCTGACGTTGCTACGACATGAAAACTACGGGAAAACATTCCTAACTACTGGTTTAGATGACCAACTACCGCGAATTGAATCATGATTTGCTAAGAAAACAAAAAATATGCTTAATTTTCTTGAATGCTGGTCCTGTCACCTGCTACACCTCAACCTCCTGGGCTTTTTGTGCATTCCAGTTCATTTTACAGCACCCATTCCGTAGCTCTTATTCCCTGTACCAGTCTGTACAGGTTCTTCACCGGTTGGCTGTTGTATTCTTCGGGAGTCAGCCTAGGCCGCCCGAATATTTCTTGTCTTTTGCGATCCAATATGCTCAATGCCTCGCATTTATTAATAAGTTTTTGGCTTTTTCTGTCTCTTTACCGCATTGTCTGCAGATAAGTTCTCCATTGTACATTCCCATTTTATTCAGGTGTCCTCCCGTTGGACTATGTCCAGTGAGAAGTCCCGTTATTGTTCTGACTTGGTTCCTACTCATCTCGAGTAGTTCTTCAGATTTATATTTTGACGGTTAATGAATACCTTCCCGTGGTGCATGTGAAGGGCTTCAGTCCATCGCTACTTATGTTTTTGCTTGAATTAAGTGGCGTTCACAACCAAACTTTTTACGTTTTGCTTTTTACGTTTCGTATTCTGATTGGTGAAGCAGAACATGAAATTAGAGGTGAATTAAATTTATGCAAATGTCATTCACAACAACAAAAGGTTAACGTGACTTTTTACAGCTTTTCTCAGTTGCCTTGGTTTTGTCATTTGTGTTTCATCCTGAAATTAAGTTAAATAATCATAATAATATTGATTAGGTAATTTATAATATTCATAGAACTGGCTGTGACGTCAATTGATCCTTATTCAATACTTATTCATGACTTGATGTTGAACAGCTAGTATATACCTATCTAATATTCCGTGGATTCACGAAAAAATCATGAGCAAGAAGTGGCAAAAACATTATCATAACTTCCATATAGAAGGTTCTATATATGTTTTGTTCTAAAATATCAGAACTAACAGAGTAGCATTTTCCATTTTTATAACAATATCATTTATCTATTTTTACTATATTTCCACAGACGATGGCTTCTTGCAACGCAAAAAGCTGAATATTTTCAGCTTTTTGCGTCATTTCAATTACAGATTTTGCTTCACCAATCAGAATACGAAACGTAAAAAGCAAAACGTAAAAAGTTTGGTTGTGAACGCCGCTTTAGTCTCGTATGAAGCCTCAGGTAGCTGTTTTTGTAACCCCGAGTACGGGTTCTGGGTCAATGTATGGAGTTGATGAGCTGGTTCTTGCCAGTTCATCAGTTCTCTCGTTCCCTATGATGCCGCAATGTCCTGGAACCCATAACAGAGTAATTTTGTTATGTTCTGACAGGGCATTGAGTTCTTCTCTGCATTCCCGTACCAGTCTGGATGTCGATTTCGTGAGAGCTTTCAGTGACGCCTTGCTATCGACGCGTATTTTGATCCGTGCATTGCACATATTTCCTCATATTGTTTGCTCTAACACATTGCGAGATTGCGTACATTCCCGCTTGAAATACGGAAGTGTTTATTCCCAGTGATATGCTCATTTGATTATTAATAATAATATGCTTACTGTTCTTGATTTGCAATTTTCCAAATCCTTGCTAATATAGTGTATAACTTTTCTAAAAAAGGAGTAGGACCCATCGATTTGTTTCTTTTCACCAGTGTATAAAATTTTCAGCACCAGATAATGGGAAAGAAGTTTGAGAATTGCATCATCGATTTCGGAGAGTCGATTGAGTCTTTTTCTAGAACAAAAAAAAATTGTCAGTCTTAGTAAAGTTAACATATTTCTTTGTTCTTTTCAAGTGGAATTTACAATAATTATCTTCAGTTTATATTACGAAATGTGAATTATTGTGAGTACATAGTAGTTCACATTTGCAATATTATAGTATAGTATAGTTGTAATAGTATTTTTAGATTACGTTACGTTACGTTACAACATCAAGATGTCGCAAATCTTTTGGACCGTTGACCCTTCAGTGAACTTCGTTCTTGAACTGAGATCATAAGAGCCCTTGGGGGTCGAAATCACACATCTGATGACCAGATGAGAGCTATTTTTTATTAAATCGATTTATAAACACACCTATGATAGCCTGCCTATGGGGAGTGTCGCAGAGTCATGCTTCTCTGTGAAGAACTGACAGTAGTGGTTAGGTTGTGATATTCCTGTCACTTGACAGTGGATAAATAAGTTACACTTCGATCAGTGGCTTCCATACAATTCCTTATTTCTTCATAATGACACCTCCAGCAACCTCTTTCCCAAAGGGAGTATACCGGTCGTCAACAGATCTGAAAGGTTTCACGTCTGGAAGAACTGTTCCCTGTAGTACTCCTCCCATCGTCACACGACAACATTATCGAAAAGTGTTCATGGCTGGTCAATTTTTTTTTTCATCACCCTTCATAAAGTAGGAGAGCCGGCTGCAGATTTCTACCGTCATTTGATAACAAAATCATATTGGGACCTCTACTTTTTAATATATTCCTCAACGATATTGATGCATGTTTTCAACACACTAATATTCTTTTGTACGCCGATGATATGAAAATCTTTAAGAAAATAAAAAATGCCAGTGACTACAATGATTTTCAAACTCGGTTGGGAGGAGAATTGAATGAAAATCAACTTGTTCTCGAAAAAACAATTCATTCTGGATGCGTCCATATTTTCCTCGCTCTCAGTACTCAAGAATGTGCATGAGAAAACACAATTGAAAAATGTTCTTGCAAAAACATCAGACCATTTCTCCTCTGTAATGCATGGCCCGTAACCAACGTTACAAGAATCACAGTAAGTGACTGACAAGTCAGGTTAGACGTCGTTTTCGAATCATGAACAGATTTTGATAGTTTCGATGCCGCATCTAACGCCCGACTAGTTGAAACTGATTCCACAAATGAGGGAACAAGGGTTATCTTCCTTCCAAATCGCGGATCTGCTAAACACGACAGTCCGATCCATTCAAAGGGCTTATCTCCGACACGAATTGTTTGGTTATTACTGTCGATTCGTTCGGCGCATTATTGCGACTGAAAACTTTACGTAATTGGCAAACTGTTTTCGTGAAACTTCCACCATCTTTGAAATGCGTTTTTACAATAAATGAACGTTGTTTGCTTGAATACTCCTCCATATTCTTAAATCGCATGTTATGTACGTGACAACTGTTAAAAAAATCACTTTATTGAAAAAATCAAAATCTGTTGCTCTTGTTGGTACACCATCTATGATGAGCCTCAGCTGATCGGGTTTGTCATTGTCAGTCACTCATTGTGATTCTTGTAACGTTGGTTACGGCAGGCCATGCATTACAGAGGAGAAATGGTCTGATGTTTTTGCAAGAACATGTTTCAATTGTGTTTTCTCACGAACATTCTTGAGTACTGAGAGCGAGGAAAATATGGACGCATCCAGAATGGATTGTTTTTCCGAGAACAAGTTGATTTGCATTCAATTCTCCTCCCAACCAAGATTCGAAGGGCGTTCCAGATTTGGGTCACTTTCAAGAAAACTCTAGATCTTTGATAGCCATCTTGAGTCAATTCTGATATTCAGATCTCTTCATCTGGAGTTTTATCTTCAAAATGAGCCTAAGATTTCCAAAATCGGTTGACGTGGAAAAAAGTTATGGCTGCGAAACCAAAAAGTTGAGTTTTTGAGATCACTCTTTGAATAAGAGAGATAGGAAGTTGATTCGCGAAATATCTCGAGGTAATGAGATCATCTTCATGCCTCTGTTGTCGAAGTTGAGAAAAATTTTTTTTTCACCATTTGAGAACCTTTTGAATATTCCGAAATTTCGCACAGTGTCGTAAAACACCATGTAGAGATTTTATGTGAATACCCTTTTGTTTCAATGAAGTACCAGATTATAGCTGAAGGACTAGGCTATCGAACAGTGTGAACCAAATTGAAATTGTTCTAAACTGACAAAAATTATTCACATTATAACAGGGGCGACATTTTGGTGTGCGACGAAATTAGTGTTGAGTAGTTTATATTATTTCGGATTAATGCACATTTAAATTGAATTCACGCGTTTTCTTTTCAGTCCAAACTGTCACACATAACTGGCAGATGGCTCTTCTACAGAAATGAGTAGTATAAGATCCACCTGTTACATTTAGGAAATCTAAACTGCCCTGCAAAATTACGGAAACTAAAAATTGTCCATGAATTTCAAAGTCGGCTATACTTCTAACCATTCATCCTTTCGTGCGCTCCAAGCGATAAAAAAATCTGATTTTGATGTTTTGTCAAACTATAGGTTGATTCATCAATAATGATTCTGTGGTTGAAAATTCCCACCATATTTTAAAATATAAGCATATCCGTACAGGGTGCGATGATGTTTTTTATTGGCCGGTTTTTTTCTGGGCAGTTTGAATTCCATTTCTAAAGAAATGATTAATATCTTCAATATTCTCAGGCGCAAAAAAAAACGTCTACTGCCGATTTGAAAAAATTGTTAGAAATACAATATTGCTCAACATTATAAAGTGAATCATTAAATTCAATGCTTACTCATGAGTTTCGATTTCCTGCTCAACATATTTCATCTGCGTCAAGAAAATTTGTTGATCCGCAAATTTAGTAGCAATATCGTCCAGCATGGTACACATTCTCTTCTTGCTTTCTTCTTTTGCTTCAATATTGTGTTCCAAATACAAACTGAAAAATAACAGTGAATATAACTCACTGCGTATCTTTTTATAATTTCAAATAAGAGCAATGTTCATACTTACAATAAAAGCAAAAATTATTCTCTAGAAGATTGAATAATTAGCAAAACTTTCCGCTCTTAGCTCTTAACAGGAAAAGGAAAACTTCTGGTACAAATTTGGCAGAGAGAATGGGGAAAAGTTTCCTATATTGAGGTTTTCATCTCACTGTGAAGTTTGTAAAAAATCAATATACCGGGTGACACAGGGTATCGGACCAACTCTGTAACTTCTGCATTTTAAAACGAATTTTTCTGAAATTCGCTACAGTTATATAAGCAATCATTTCGGATTTGATCACATAACAATCCAATATGACGGACTTCCGGTTCTTCTTGAAATGCCAACAACTTTGTTTTTTCAAATGGAACTCCCTGTATATTCTTACATATTCAAGTTCAACAGGTCAAAACAAGTGCAATCTTTATGTCAACTGTCATTTTTCTATAAAAATTTCAAATTGAAATTGTTTTTTTATTTTACCTCGTGGATAAATGAGATGTGATCAAGGCTATTTACAATGAGTCACACGTAACAGAGAAACATAATTTTTACTGAAAAATTATTTGTTTTGTCACATCGTTGAATCAATTCAGTCACATCACATTTTGATCAAAAATGCATTAATGTCCTATTAAATGTTCAAAATTTTGCGCATTTACTCTAACACACAACCTGGTCCTTTCCACTGTACACCTTATGACAGCAGTGAGTTCATCCACACCGATTCTTTGTACTGCTCCCTGAATTTGAATTCTCTCTTCCAAATCCTCCAGTGTTGTAGGCTGACGAGCATAAACTTGGTTTTTAATATGACTCTATAAATAAAACTCGAGAGGAGATAGGTCGGGAGATCGTGGAGGCCATCTGACAGGCCGTTTGTTTCAATCCATCTTTGTCCATATGTCTCAAACAAATACTCCCGGGCTGCTCTTGAATTATGTGGGGGAGCGGAGCGCCATCTTGTTGGAAATACATCTCTCTCATTTCCTGCATCAGTGGCAAGTTGTCCAAACATTCTGAACTTCATTCTGTAGGAACCCGAGGTATCGTTGCCCTGTAAAATTACCTTGAAAAAAAATTGGACCTATTATTCTCGTTTCCAATATTCCCATCCACACGTTCAAACCAAATCTTACTTGAAATCTCCCCTGCCTCAAGAGCCTTGGATTCTGTCTCGCCCATTATCTTGAATTATTTCGGTTGAACATCCCATTGTTGGTGAATCTCGATTCATCAGAAAACAGTATGTTGAAAGTGAAATTATTCACTTGCATATGATTCGCCAACAACCAGTTACAATAATCCAACCTTCTGATGTAGTCATCCTCATAAAGATGTTGATGTAAGTTATACCTACTTGTAAGTACGACAATGGTGTTTTTTTACAAATCTTCTAGCGCTTTCTCGACTGTTATTGCAGTGGTATTCTAATTCCCGCGTCGAAGCGGTTGGATCAAACTCAACATAAGCTAAAACATTCATGTCTGCCTCCTCACTTACGATGAATGTATTACGATCATCTTCTTCATTGCTGGGTTCTTTCCGGAATCTTCTCTCCACCTTTTTGAAATAGGTTCTCTGTGTGGGTAACGTTCAGCGTATAACTGACAAGCGGCGACACTGTTTTTAGGACATTCTCCGTAAATTAATAACATATCAACCCGTTCACTTCTTGTGAACCTATAATTTCGATTTTCCATTTCTACTTATTCTCGGAAATTAACTAATTTATAGTTTATAGTAGGTAGTAACATTTCTTCTTCAATTTTTCAGCAGGGGAAGAGTTGCCATCCAGGGTATCTTGCAATTGAGTGCAAATAGCTACACAAATTGATACCAAAACCCAAATTCAATTGATAGCATGATATACAGTTTTTGTTCATTCCTTGAAGTTGAATTCAAATTTTAAGGATATATCACTGATTATTTAGGTACTTGAACATATCCATGACATTTCAAATTGTACCTTGGAAATATTTATTTATAATTTTGCTGCTTGTATGTTTTTATTAAACTGTATTTTATTCATAAGTAACAGTTCTACTTTTTTTTGTGTTTTTGTAATGATTTTCTTGTAGATTTTCAAAATTCATATTTCAATTCCACAACTACCTCAATCTACACCTCATTCTTTATTGATGCAATTTCAAAGTTTCACTTCATAATCTTCATTGATTCCTTTTAAAATAGGTACAGTATGACCTACTTCTTTCATAGCAGGTAGATACCTATTTTTCCTCATTGTTAATTTGTTTTAACATGAATGAAAGTCCTGGATTCCAAATTCATTCATAATTGTTAATTTTTATGAAGGTATTGATATCAACCCTGTAAAATATATCTACCTACGTATAGCTTAAGAATTTGTGGTGACGGGTTTTATTATATGAGTTATAACAATGAGTTGGGATACAACGGTTTTTGGGAATTACTCATGATAAAGATATCGTTTGTGAATTAGTATTAACAGAACGGTCGATGAATAAACACGTTAATAGTTAATACCAACGTGTCTAATTTTACAAGGTGCTAACAGTATCTTGTGAAATAATTCAGGGAAAAACAGTATACATGAGCACTGGGGGAGAAGTATACTGATAGATCAAAGGTGGAATTTTAATCATGGTCATAGATAAATCATTTGTTCGGAAATTAATCGGTTAGCAGTATGATTCAACCTATTAGTCATTCATTCGAGACCAGGTGATGAATCAAGAGTCTTATATTAGGTAGATGTCATCACGAACGGTCGAATTTTGTGATCGCAATTGAAAAATACGCGAAAGGAAATATTTATCGTTCCAAACGAAGTGTTCACTTGAAAATTAGTGCAAGTATTGTGTTTTTGTGTTCCTCATAATTCAGTGTTTCGTGTTGTTTCATCAAAGCTTCGCATTTTTCACGCTGGTGAGTGAATAGAGATTCCCTGTTTTTCCTCATATTTTCCTGTTTATATTTAACTCAATTAGCTTATATGTTTTCAAAATAAGAAACGTCTGTTCGTTGAATACTTTCAAGATAATAATTCGAAACGAGCAAACCAGAAGAAAATAAGACGATTCGAAATTTTTTCATGGAAAAAGACCTTTTCCCTATACAGGGTGTTTCAGATTTTAATGTACATACTATACCTGTGGATAAAGGAAACTTTGGTGAATCCAATCACTACCAATCGATGTGTCTTCCATCTTTTATAATCAATATAATATACAGGGTATGTTACGACAAGCTTACACCATCTTTATATCGAGAATCAGTCAGAAGAAATCTATGAAAATGTGCAAGCTTATATTTCAGAATACGCTCTCTTCATTTGAAATACTACTACTAGTAAGTAGTAGCGACATTGATATTTCAAATGGAATACTCAGCATTTCATCACATTTTTAGATTCTCCCTGAAAAGCTGATTTCATCAATCTATCACACTTTTTATATGAAGTACCAACGTTATCTTGGCTCACTCTACCAGTCTTATCATTTACAATATTACCTTTCCGGACATCCGTATAGTTTGCAAATTTTTTCTAAAACCATTTTTCACTTATTTGGGATTGAATCGAAATCGCCAAAATCATTTAGATAGCTGTGGAAACAACAGAAATGCTATGGAAACAAAACAGGCATTTTTTGACATCTCTGTCGGTCTTTCAATTTAAATGGGTTATTCAGCAGTGGAAAAATACGAAATTGTATAATTGTTATATTATGAAAATATTGTGGAAACTTCGGTAATGCAGCAAGAATTCAGTCTAAATCGGATTTCTCTTCCAGATTAACAAGCAAACAGACAGAAAGCAAAGTGTTTGATACTTGCCACGGAGTCGGAGAAAACCATCCAGTCAAGACGGACCGAACAGAAAATCCGCAGAGAGAACTGACCAGAGTATACTTTTCAGAATTCTGATCCTTATATTCGTACGGAAGGCGATATATTGAATTCCTTTCCAGATTCTCAAGCAGCAGACAGATATTCACCTTTATGTCTCTATGGAAACACGACAGGAACCCTTACGAGGGGAGAGTATCAACTCGGCGTTTATAAACCCCTCTCTGCAAAGGAGGTCGGCGCATGGTGGGTTAGGTATATACAGTGTTTTTCATTGCAGAGAAAATCGTTATTTATCTGCCTACCTCGTCTGCATTGAGAGAGTTGATGCATTGATGAATAATCGTAAAAATATATCGCATTTCAGTTACGAATGTTGAAAAAAATATTCAGACTTTATAGATTTATATTCTATGTACGTCTCACGATTCAAATTTCAAATTGATGCTTAGTTTTAGATCCGAGCAGCACACTGTTTGGCATTCATGGTCCTTATTATAACCCACGAAATTCAAAATGCTGCAGATGTCTACTGGGAAGACCATTATTCGGAAGGAGAGCGAATATGAAGCAATTCAGTTACGGTTGATGGAAATATTATTCAGCTATGTTTCAGATTCAGAATCAGTTTTAATTCTCATGGACTTTCTGATATGAGATATTTAGTTGCAGATCCGAAAAGCAAAGTGTTTGATACTTGTCAATAAATTGGAGGAAACAATCAGTCAATTATCATTACTATAGAAATAATACTACAATGATAGGAATCTATAAAATTCTATGCAGGATATCATGAATATTATCTTAATATGATTCAGAGAAGGCAAGCATATGAAACCATAAAATACTGACCTGCACATTTTCCCAATGTAATCTTTGTTTTGCAATTCAATAGTTCTAGTTTCTGGAGACTTCATCAGAAACTTACCATGCAAAATATGAACTGTTAATCATTTCAATCATGTTCTTTCAGATGGGCACTACAAATAGTTAATAATCAGTAATAATATATATATATTTATGAATCACAAATTCACCTTGTTTTCATTAATTGGAGCAATAAAAGTGGAAAAAGGTAAAGGATGTAGGAAGTTTTTTCAACTTTTTGTAGTAGGTACATATTCATACATCCAGTTTTCAAATTCACATTCGATGCTCCACGATTATCCATTTTACATCCAACTGAACTGATTCTTCATTTTCAGAAAAAACTTCTTGAGTTTACTAGTGCAACCGTCAACACAACACAGTTGATTTCTTGGTTGTTGAGTGATATGTTGATTCATGATTAATAAAATGATGTAGAATTGTGTCGGTAATTAATATGAAGTTCTTGTCCTGTACTCAAGAAAATCATGAAAAGAAAATCAATGTAATTTGTAGAATGAATTACATGAAATATCAAATAAATGAACAGGATAACAAACAATAATGCCCTGATAAACTGGTTCAAATGTGCCCACCAAATGACGTATTGGAATCATCACCTTGCTGATTGTATACAATTTGTCACAGCACCGAAAAACAAAAATGATATGTCATTTTTTTCCTTAATGAATGTTCTATAGAGACGTGTAGGTGGCCCATAGGGTTTCCATTTGAAATAAATGAATTTTTGATCATCATGTGATGTGACTGAATTGATTCATGGATAAGTGACACAAAAAATATTTTTTCAGATAAAATTATGTTTTTCTGTTATGTGTGACTCATTGTGAATAGCCTTGACCACATCTCATTTATCCACGAGGTAAAATAGAAAAAAATGAATTTGAATTTTTTCGAAAAAATTACATTTGACATAAAGATTGCACTTGTTTTGACCTGTTGAACTTGAATATGTGAAAATATACAAGGTATTCCATTTGAAAAAACAAAGTTTCTGGCATTTCCAGAAAAACCGGATGTCCGCCATATTGGATTGTAATGTGATCGAATCCGAAATAGTTTATATAACTGTACCGAATTTCAGACAAATCCGTTTGAGAATGCAGAAGTTACAGGGGTGTCCCGATACCCTGTGTCACCCGGTATACGTATTTTTTCTTTTTATCATAAGATTAAATTTCACGTCAGAAAAAAATAAATGAAAGATGAACTTGGCTCCTCCACCATTCCTATGACGTACTTTCTGAAAATCCACATTCACACAGAGTTATAATACGATTTCCTGTGCCAGTACGACGTTGCCGACATCATACATATGTCTAGATTTCCGGAAATTGTTCTTTGAATGCATTATAACTATATCATAACAAAAATGGGATATAATAGGTTCTTCAATCCCACTTTGTCAAGTATTATGAATAATTCCCATTGATCTCTCATTGGCTGAATGAAGTTGATTACTAATAAAGATAAATTATGATATTTTGCGACAGTATCTATAATTTTTTACTATCGTAATATTACAATATGTTATTCATAACTTGTCAGTCATTTTTTCTCTAATGAATTCGTTCTTTAATAAAATGAATCTATTTTCTAGGAAAGTTGTAGATTATATCTTGCAACAGCGCCTAATACTTCGAGTCCGTCCACACCACTCATAATACTGACAGGCGCAACAAGAGGAAGTAACGTTCGTGTCATTTTCGCCATTTTGAGAAGGGTTGAAAAATGTTTGAATACACAGGTATTCAAATCCTCTCTGCCAAATTTGCATTTGCTGTTTTCCTTTTCCTGTTATAAGCCAAGGGCGGGATGTTTGAATCACCCTGTACAAAGGCATTGATCAAAAGTGGCACTTTGCTTGACAGGAAAATTTTGCGTTTGCGAGGCGAAGCGTTAGTGAAGCCGGGCGAAATAAAATTTGCGAGTCAGACAAAGTCACTATTGATCCGAATGAAAATTTTTTTTTCTGCAACCGAAAGAATTAACAGCTAACTTAAATAAATAGAAGTGCCATAATACCATAATAATAAGGATGCAAAGCAAGTAATAAACCTTTTGGTGAAGATTATTCGACCTGTATAAATGATTTGTACATGAGTTCACACAATACACAATGGCCAGTGGGTAGCGTGATGCCAAAAGTTGTGGGTTCAAATCCTGTTATCCACCAACTTTTTTTTTCATTGTTTTTTAGTTCTTCGAAGTGATTCATTGAAAAAAATACTGTGGAGGCATTTACAGATCAGGTTTATTCAATTTCCAAGGATATTAGAATTGTAGTTTCAATATAAATGTTAAAAATTGACTATGCAATCATGTTTGAGTTTTTTGTTGAATATTTATAATGAATACTGTTGTTTATTTCTTGATGACCTAGTACATCTTTTTCAGTTTCTAGGATTTAAAGTTAACTTTAGCTCCTAGGAACTGAAAGTGTTGCCTAGCACCATATCTATTTTTGTATCAACTTCAAGAGTTAATTTTGGAATTGAATTGGCAACTTTTGAGGCGGTTGCAAAAATAGTTATTTGTTTCACTAAGCAGGAAAGTAGTAGATTAACTGTAGTGGCTGATAGTTCATAGCCGAGCATAGCGAGTTTTTTATCCCCCTGTAAGCACCCTTATTCTCATTACTCTTGTAGATTGGACTAATCCCTTACTCTAATTTTAGGACAATTATGTAATTTCTGATGTAAGGATGATGATGGACATATATATGTCCGAAACATGTAGAAATTTTTGATGTGTTAATCACATTAAATGTTGGAGATGTGAGTTAACTTTTGATTTTCTATAATATGTATATTTTTACATGCCTTTGCTTGTAGTAACTTCTAAAAACAGCTGAAGATGGCCTTTTATAAGCCCGAAACATGTCCCCTTAATTGATTTACATCAGTAATAAAGTAGTAGAGATGACTTTGAACTTTTCTTCTTCCTTTTGATTGAAAGTTTTTCGCATATGATGCCAACTTTATAAAAGACAGTGTATAGATTAGCATGTGGTTTGGTCTCGGCAATATTAGGTCAATATCATATTAGGCATACAAAATACAATGAACAATTTCTCACCTATCCACAGAGAACAGTGTTTCAACTGTTACCGCATCTAAGAAATTCAACATTTCCTTCAATTTATCAACTTCTATTTTGGTTACCAAGTACCTTTTATGACTATGCAGAATCCTGAAAATTAAAGAATCAGTGAAAATTCTAATAGATCATGAGGATGCTAAACTTCCATTTTTTTCTCTAAATAATATGTTATTTATACAAGGTGGTCCAGATTTTTTAATATTCATTTGATAAGTGATAGAGACTCCAAAAATACACAATAACTTGGATACAGAGCAACTAAGTTCCATTAAAACAATTTTTATCATTCCATATCAGAGAAAATTCAAAGTGATCCTTATTTATCAGTAACAGGAATCTATTGGCATGAATACATGGGTTACATATCCCTTTTTCTAGGAATAAGTAATGGTAGTACTGGATATTTTCAAGAAAATCAGTACCTAATCAGCTATATTACTTATTGAATTCAGAAGAAAAAATCATTCTGGTAAAATCTCATTTCATTCCAAATCACTGACCCTGAAGAAAAAAATAAATGTATAATAGGAGCATGGCTAATGTGTGAGAATAATGAAAAAGTTATATGAATTGACACATCTGAAGAAAAGTGAAATTACTTTAAGGCAGTGGATTCATCTCTATATCCATATCAGATATTGGGTAGAAATTGTGTATGTACCTTCAAAAGAGTCTTTATGATTTTTTTTATCCCTTGGTGCACACGAAAGGGAATCCCTATAATGTTCAAAGAACATCGAGTATACCTAAGGAGGATAGGGAGAGGAGGTAGATGTTGGGATTTTTTTTCAACTTTTGGAAATACTTCCTCATGCAATGAATTCCAGAGATGTAATAAGATCAATAGGAATATTAAAGTGAATTTTGTAACAAAATGAATTTGGATTAATTTTGAGAATTGAATAGTTTGTACCTAAGTTTAGAAAAAATAAGAATGAAAATACCTATTTTTATAGATGGATATTCTTAATGGTCATTTTATCCATCACAGAACATTTGTGGTGTTTTGTTAGATTATGTTCAAAAGAATTCTTAGAGGGCAGTTGAAAACAACATAATTATAAAAAGATATATCAGTGTTTTTTGCAGAAGTGAGATTATACTACCTATCTGAAGAAAAAACTAAACAATTTCAAAAGTCCACAATTTAGGAGACTTATGACCAATTTGAGTTTTTTGTCACACAGTTTAAATAACCACAAAGTGAATAAATAATTTCAATTTCCAGAGCATGTTATGAAGTTCCATCATCACTATATTCCTATTTGGGGAAAATTGATGGCTGACATTGAAGTTGAAAATCCCTCAGGTTTTCATTATTTATTGTACAGCAGAGCAATATTCTAGAGCTAAGCCTTATAAGAAATATCAGTGCACCAAAATGAGATCTTCAGAAAGTATGTTTCTCAATTTAGTGATATTTAAACCCAGTAACTCATTCAAGAACTTGTCATAATATTTTTTTAATTTGTCTTACCTGTGCCTAAGATTACAGAAATCATTGGCAATTGTTTCATTTATATTGGTCACATTAAGATGAGTTATGTTCAGAGTGCCTGTGTTGTTTGTTGGAACTACAGAATCTTCTAAATGTGGCATCAGTAAATTTGTTGTGTTATCCATGTGTTCATAATTTACTGTGATGTCCATATTGTTGATGAAATTAGGAGAAGGACTCTATGGGAGGAAAATTTGAATTTATAGACATTTTTGTTAATATTTCAATTTTTTACACCCAAATATGACTTCAAATCAAACCAAATATGACTTCAAATCAACCAAATAGTGAGCTTCCTCAACTACAGTAGGTTCTGCTTTTACTATAATAATAATGATAATAATATGAATTTATTCAAAAACGTTTACAAAATATACATTGGAACATACAGATAGATATTTTGAATAAACTGGGAAAAACCTTAGGAAGTTAACCTTGTAGTAAGGATAAAAAAAACAAATGTACATAGGTCAATAAATATTTAACAATATTGAATTACCACAAGGGAAAAATTGTCTCATTAAGAAATGATACAAGTATTTAATTCATAATATATAGTATACTGAGCATTTCATTCAATATGCATAAATATTAATATTCATACACACTTATTCACAATCATTATTTAGATTTTTCTAATGATATTATTGAATGTTAATTAAAGAGATAAAATAATTTTTAGGGGAGTTTAATATCCAGTTTTTCATTTTTATTGTATAGGATTGTAGTGATTTTGTTTTTATAATATCATTTGGAATTTTATTATATAGGTAAGGAATTAAAAATTTATAATTTCTATGTCCAATTGACTTGTTTGTTTTATATTTTAATGTTATGTTATTTCTATTTCTTATGTCATAGATATGTTCTTTGAACTGAATGTCCTTTTCATTCTTGAATATATGAATCAGTAAATTGTATATATATAGTTGATTTATATCCATTTTCTTAGATTCCTTATATAAACTTTCAGCTGGAAACAAATAATCTTTTCCATAAATAAATTTAAAAAATCCATTTTTGTGCAATTTCCAATTTCCTCAAATATATCTGCTTCACTCCACCCCATCCTAATATCCCATAAACTAATTGGGATTGAACTGAAGCATAGTATATCATTTCTAAATTTCAAACATTTAATAAGTTTTTCAAATGTTTGAATTTAGGAATGAGACATCTTATTTTCTTAGTGACATAATCAATATGATGATCCCATTTCATATTAAAGAAGTGTCATAGTCATATGGTCTCACAATGACTATACATTATTAAATACTACATGAGATCAGAATTCAGAATGTCTTCAAATAGATGCCAAAACTGTGTTTTTTATCAAATATATAAACATGAACAGAGTTAACTGGTATTTTCTTCTAGTATCTTGTGGACCAATGGTACTATCAAGCAGATATACCACTGAAACTAATATTATTGGGATTGCTTGTTACTTACAAATTCAAAATCATGCAAATTTTGTCCATACTTCAATAACCTTTCATGGATTTTTTTATTTAACTTATCCAATTTTTCTCCTTGATCAAGACAATTCTCTTGTGCAGATTTCAATTGTAGGGATGTCTTGATTTCCAGTGAGATCTTTTTATCCATTATTTCAAGCAGATCTTTTTCTTGCTTTCTACAAAGTTTAATAACATATTCTTGAGCAAAGGTAATACCCATCATAATACAGACTCTAGATAGTCAACACCTGTGTAAAAATTGGCAATGCTCCAATGGTTTCTCAACAGACTGGCAGCTACTAGACTGTGCTGATTCCTTGTACAAATATCAATATTGGAGTAAAAGAAATACAGGGTGTATGAATAAGTAGATGGGCACAGCAGATTACCCACTCCTCTGTTGTGTCCCAAAGTTCCAACTGAGCATTGCCCATCTACGGTGCCTATCTAGACTCTAGAGTGTGTATGATCTTGAGACTTGAGTGAACATTTTGATACCATTATCACATTTTTATCACTGATGACATTTTTGAAATCAGTTGAAATAGGGAATTAAGTAATTGAGACATTATTCCTACCTATTAATTCTGTTTAGTTCTTCCAATTGTTTATCTTCTTGAATTAATATATTGATTTCATCTTCAAGAAATGCAATTTCAAGCATGTTTGAATCTACATCAAAGATTCCAGGAAACTTAGTCTGTTCAATTTCATATTTTTCTTGCTCTAGATCACTCATAGAAAAAGGCAATTGAATATGTGTGAATCTGAAATTCGAAAAGTGAAGAATTGCCTTTGAATAATACTATTTACCATACTCAGAAGTTTCTAAGGGTGATAAATAATTTTCCTTGGATAAAGACAAGCACATCCAACTCAAGAGGTTCTTCATGTTTTCGTCATCAGTATCAAACCAGCCTCTTATAACATTTGGATGCAAGTTGAGTAATTTTACATCCAATTCGCTAAAAACTTTCAAAATATCATCACCATTGAAATCTTCCATTTTAGAACTTTAGGATCTGTGAACCCAAAATATTATGAACCAGATTTTCAATCGAATAGTAAAGATCCTTATATGAAAATCAATCACTTTACTCAACAATCCGCGCACTCATCACTCAAATAATTCCAAAATATTATATTTTTGTTTTCAAAATTTGGGTTACAAACATAAACATAAACATTTCTACCCGCCGAAAGTGTCAATTTGTCAGAAATACACAGAACACAAAACACAAATTGAGATGTTTTCTACCTTGAACGAGAGAGAGGAAAGTTCTCTCCTCTTCCATCTTTCTCTTCAATACTACCAACGTGGCCGCATTGAAATATAGAGAGGTCCGATAAATCTTTCCTTGTCTAACCTCTAGTCTGCGCCACTAAACTATTGTCGACATTATAATGACGTGATATGTATATGTCATGAATGTCATTGACTGATGACATTTCGAATTTCCGAAATGAAATTTTGATTCATGTCATACATATTTCAACATAAATTGTTAATATCGTTAAATTTGGCACTCTGCTGAATTGAAAAATATTTCACTACAAAAACCTTGTAATACAGGGGCAACACTACCCGAAACTTTCCTTATAATGAGAAAAAAGTCATTATTATGACTTTTCAAAAGAGAAAAGTTAGCGTGACACCAGAGGATGCTTTCATATTATGCAGCAGATGGTGGATCACTTTCTCCTCATCAATTAAATTATCAATTTGTTCTCTTCGAAAAGTGAAAAGCTGAGATTTCTTCTCTGTTTTCAGGGTTTCAAGACTTTCAAGGCAGACTGACGTCAGTTCGCACTAGTTACGGATGGCGGGGCAAGACGAATTCTTGCTACATGCGTGCAACGGTGCAACGGTGCAAGTGTCAAATTCAATTTCATTGTCAAAGTGGCAACACTGGCGCCATACTCTCTTTTGACTGATCCTTAGCAGGACAAAGTTGTTTCCAGTTTTTATTAAAAAATATGGGTTTCCAAAATATCTGGTACTCCCATCCCCGTAAATATGGACAAGGATCGAGATCCTGGTATGTATATTTAAATTTTGTTACGAAAATTGTATAGATGTGACTTAACCTAGCTTTGTGAAAACGTGGTTTCCTGGTGTAGGTGTAGGGGTAAAAGTGCACTTATCATGCGATGGGGTTTTTTTCGAAAATTTTTTTTTGGACTTACGTATTTTCGTCTGAAAAACACGAATTTCATAATGAAAATGTGAACAAACCACTATTTATCGAGATATCTCACTATAAAGTTACAAATTTCACCATCTTTTCCGCCTGTCTCCTGGATCACATTTAGAACAATTTGCCCTTCTTTTTCCATCATTGAACAATTTATATATATAGCACAATGTTGGACACATTTTTTTTATTATATGAGTCAACTAGAAATATGATTTTCTTGTGATTCATCCATGTTTAGTGAAAAGAAGGAAGAATATCATTTGAAATAATGGCGTGTGTAATGCATATGTGTAATGTCATTCCAAAGCAATCTATTGACATTTGACATCTCGTATTTGGATTGCATATGGATTAAATGGCCGTCATCTGGTATGCTTGCTCACTAAAAATAGGAAAAACTCGCCATAAAAATCATATTCCCTGTTGAATTTTCTATCTTAAAATGTGTCAGTGAAGTACATCATGAGTATATAAAGTGTCCAATGACAAAATAAGAAGAGCAAGTACCTGAAAATGCATCCAACACAAGGGGGAAAAGAAGGCAAAATTTCGAACTTTTTCTTGAAATATCTCGATAAATAGTGGTTTGTTCACATTTTCATTATGCAATTCTTGTTTTTCAGACGAAAATACGTAAGTACCAAAAAAATTTTTCGAAAAAAACCCCATCGCATGATAAGTGCACTTTTACCTAAAATTATACGCTGATGATATTATTATGAGCTATTGTGAGGAATTTGAAAATTTAACATTGCATGAGTTTATCTATTTTGTCATGTATCTATTTTTTTTCTTTGATTGTTGTTTGTAATCTATTTCTTTTATGAACTATTAGTTAGTACCTACACAAATATTTGTGGAATTTTTAGCTAGTTCAAAATTTATTAAATGATAGTTTCTGACAAATTCAGGTTGTTACAATATGAATGTCACTCATTTTTCCTATCACTCTGTGTGTGGCAGAGAAGGTCTTGTTTTATGTTATGGTGTTGTCATAACAAGAAAATAATAATGTAAAAAAAAGATTATATTGTATGTATCTCTCTCTCCTATTTCACAGAGATTGAAACAGTTTCTAAAAGTCTTTATTTCAATTACTGCTTTCACTGTTAGCCCTCTACCAATGCCACCTGGATTAAATCAACAATTCACACCTGAAAAATATTAATGATCCATACCTAGTCATTAAAAAATTCAAAACTGTATGGTTAAAGCCTTATACATAAATAATAACACATATATTTTCATGAATATGCAAATCTTTGTGAGTCTATTTCTGTACCTACTACCAAGATTTCTGAAAAATGTAGTACAGATAATCATTGGCTAGTCAGGTGGTTACCTAGTATTGATTATAAACATGTAGAATGTAATTGAAAATTTTTTTCTTTAGGTATACACTAGTATTAATTTATTTATCATTTTTAGTCGGGCCTGCTCCAACAGACATGGACTCATTCGAAAATATGGTCTGAATCTTTGCCGACAGTGCTTCAGAGAATATGCTGGAGATATTGGATTCAAGAAGGTATGTTGTCAAACTCTAATACAAAACAAAATTTTCATGAAATATTTTTGTTTCAGCTTGACTAAATTACAAGTTGGGATACCTTTTATATTATTGTTATAAGTGGAAAAATGAATAAATTATTCAACTAATTATTGTGTTTACATGATATTTTGAAAGAAGTTCCCAACAATAATTCTTGAGTTTACAACAGTATATATATATAGTGGGTATCTTGGGGAAAAGTGTTGAAATTAATTTTAAAAACAGCTAAAGCCAAAACATACAAACTTACATCAGTTATCTGTATTCTTCAGGAAAAAAATTGTAGATTATATTCTATTAGAGGAAGAACTTGACTAGCAGCAATTTCAAGAAATGTTTTTATGCATAGCAAATATTACAAATGAATCAGAGGGAAAATAATGCTCTTGTATTTTTGTTAATTTCTATAGAACATAACTCTCTCAGTAGTGTTAAAGATAAAGCTAATTGCTAGGTATTAATCAAGTACATAAAAACCTGTATTGTATAATATTTTTGATACTTATTTCAAATTATTTAATCTACAACTTCCTAAATGATAATTTCAAACATGACACATGACAATATAAGCATTCATAACTTCAATTCTATAGTGTGGCAACATTTTGATGATTTGTTGCTTGATTTTTATCCTCCTTTTCATCACTTCTTATGGCAGAAAGTCCATAGTTCTTTATATTGAGTTTAAACTGTTAATGACACTGTGCACCATAAGCAAAATAAATGGTTTGAAAAATGCTAAGTACAAATTTCAACCAAAGCATGCAAATTTACCTTATGGGGGGATAAACTGTCTGAAGCCATGGGAATTGATTTTGTCAATAAGTTATATTATATAGGTCAAAAAGTCATATACCGGGTGTCCCTATGATAAGCCTGCATAAATAATTTTCAGAAAACTTTGAAACTCCTCAGGCTGGACGAATTTTTTCAACACGAAATCAGTTTCAGAAAGGTTAAGGTTGAAGCAACCTATCATTGATTTCATTCAGGAGGAAACATGTCTGTCTTGAATTTATTAACTTCATCACCCTAGTGAGACGGCTATATATACCCCCTTAAAAATCATAATAGGGAACAAAGGTGAAGATTTCCTAATTCCCTATCAGACATTTTCACCTTTTTGAGATGCATTGAATAATAAATGGGATTTGTGTTGTAGCGAATGAAATGTAAATAATCAACATCTTTCCTGATGGTACCATCAGATTATCAATTATTAATTCATTAATTGAATACTGAATAATCTCTCCATGTTCACACAGTGACATCCATTCTCACAATTGCTCCGGAAGTTTTTCAGTACTCTGTCACTCTATAATACTATCATGTAGCTCATGTGTTAGTGTCGTGACACTGGCAAAGTGACAAAAAACTCTGATCTTGTAAAATCCCCATTAAAAATAATCGAGAAACTAATGGTAATTATAATAATGAATGTGTCGGCGGGAGATCTACTGAAAATTTTGTAGAACTGGCAACCCTGTACCGGACGATGTGTGCGGACGAAAAGTGCTAGTCTTCGGAAATAGTCGGTTTTTCGTTCGGAAATTAGAACGTAAAATATGATTTTTTGTAGTGGCTGACGAAAAATTTTTCAAATTCTAACAAGCCCAAACATGTTTTCATCACCATTATATCCCTAATCTTGGATGGACTGAGAATTCAATTTTCTGAGAAAAAAGATACAATCAGATGAAATGAAAACTACATCTCGAAATTTGTAGCACTTTGTATAATTGTATATACAGTGCGTCCATAAAGTAACGCATAAATTCATTATTGGCTAAATGAACAATAAAATTAGAAATTCCCGAAACAGGTCGATTTTTGATTTCAATTTACTATTGTTTCAAATCATAATCTAATATACAGGGTGAACCACTTTCGTGTAATGACGTCATCACCATTTTTTTCAAATGGAACCCGCCCCCTTTTTTTTCAATTTCAGAATTGCCCTTGCTGAGCTGATTCCAAAAATGTATAATATAATAACAATACGAAACTGTGCTTCAATGTTTTTGACAGTTTTGTCAAATTAAAAAAATGGTAAAAGATAATGCCAAACAAAAAGATTTTTATAGTCCACGGGCTTGGATCACTAATAAAAGCTGTAAGATACAATTATTAAGAATAATGCTGGATGTTCTTGATAGTTTATCAAAGTAGTTGTATAACAATACGTTATTTCATTTAATGTGTTTATTACGTTTATTCATTATTTTAATATTACTTTTCTAAGTAAATGTTTGCATTTTTGCCCACCCTGTACCAATTTGAAGAAACATATTATACATTTTTGGAATCAGCTCAGCAAAGGCAATTTGGAAATTGAAAAAAAGGGGGGGGTTCCATTAGAAAAAAATGGTGATGACGTCATTACACGAAAATGGTTCACCCTGTATATTAGATTATGATTTGAAACAATAGTAAATTG